TGCAAATCTGTACACAACCCTGTAGAATCCCTACACAAGACCTGTTAACAACACTATATTGGCATGTTCCCCCCTTATACTAACAGTCCTTAATGGGGACTATAATCAGGGGTACTGGAATCCCTATTGAGGACTGTTAGTATAAGGGAGAACATCCCAAGCCCAAACCCTAAACCCTAAACCCCAAACCCTAAACCCTAAACCCTAAACCCTAAACCCTAAACCCTAAACCCTAAACCCTATACCCTAAACCCTAAACGAAGCCCTGAACCCAAAAAGCTCTCGAGGCGAGGAGCTGCCGAAGTACTCGACGGCCACGTATCGGTCCTAGACAAGGGAGACATTGAGGGTTTAGGGTTTAGGATTAGGGGTTTGGGGTTTGGGGTTTAGGGTTTAGGGTTTAGGGTTTAGGGTTTAGGGTTTAGGGTTTAGGGTTTGGGGTTTGGGGGTTTGGGTTTAGGGTCTAGGGTCTAGGGTCTAGGGTTGAGGGGGGCGATGGGAGGATATTCATTTAGGCTCCTGTGTTACATTCCCGAGGTGCCATGGACAGCTGGCACCGGTCTTCCTTTGTGTCCGAGGCGTCAGGAACCCCAAGCCCTGAAGCTTTAGGGTTTAGGGTTTAGGGTTTAGGGTTTAGGGTTAAACCCTGAACCTAAGCAGATGCCACAAACAAAAACCTAATTCCCAGCCGCTACGTGCCTCTAACGGCCACAGGACCGAAAGGGTCGAACACCACGTACCAGAAGCCCTGAAGCCCCTACTAAACACCCCTTCAGTTTCTACTGGTACCCTGAAATTTACAGCCATCTACCCACACTAGAGGGCTGAATGAAGGGCTACTTGGGCCTTACCTTCCGTGGCGGGTAGCAGAGAGTAGCATGTCCCACTCTTAAGCCTATAACCCTCAAAAAGAGCAGCTGCTCCTGCGGCACCGAGACGAGGCCTCAGAAGTCGGCTGCTGGGAATGCCGGGTCGGGTAGGGAAGTTTTCGCTTCAACAAAACTTAAAGCCCCTAAGTCCCCAAACCCCCAAAAAGCCGCATTAAAGGCCCCTAATAAAACCATTTACACCCCCTATGAAGCCCCCTATAAGCCCCCGTGAAGCCCCCTAAACCCCCTGTGAAACCCCGTATGAAACCCCTATGAAACCCCCTATGAAAACCCCTTCAGATGAAAGAGGTGCCATATTCGGGGTTTTCAATGCCACTTCACCAACACCTCCTAAGCCGCCACCTTTCACATGACGAGTACTCTGGCGCGTTACAGCTGCAAGAGCATACACTTCAGGGCTTCAGGGCTTTGGATTTAGGGGTTTAGGGGTTTAAGGTTTGGGATTGAAAATTTGGGGGTTGAGGGGTCTGGGTGTAGCGTCCAGGTGCTCAGGTTTCAGGGCATGGCGCGAGGTTTAGGGTTTCGGGGCTTCGGGGGGTGGGGGGCACACAACCCAGTGAACCTGAACCCCTAAACCCTAAACTCTGAACCCTGAACCCTAAACCTAAACCCTAAACCCTAAACCCGAAACCCTAAACCCTAAAACCTTCGGCCCTAAACCCCAAACCCTAAACCCAAAATACTCAAAACCCCAAGCCCTAAACTTACCCTAGCCATCGCGAGGGATTCCTGAGCTTCCCGCAGTTGAAGCCAGGGATGCAGCCCCACTCGTTCCGCAAATCCCCCATGGCCCAACAGTGGACCTAGACCCTCAACCCTCAACCCTAAACCCTAAACCCTAAACCCTAAACCCCAAACCCTAAACCCTCAACCTCAGGGTGAAGGCCCAGAAAACGCGAACCTCTGGAATAAGCCTTCTTGACCCCCTACATGCCCTTGACGGGAGGCCTTCAAGTTTGGGGGGCGTTGAAGAGCCCTGAAACTCTGAAGCTCAACTCCTTCAATCTCTTGCTGACAACAGCGGCGGCGGAAACATGCGTGAAGAGGGGTGACGAGGCTTCGGGCACTAAGTAAGTAGGGTCTACGTCGGGGTGTCCTGATCCCCAAACCCTAAACCCTAAACCTACGAAGCTTCCGGAGACCTTCAAGCGGCACTTCAGGAGAGTTCTTCCCAAATCAGAACCTCAATCTCACATCCATTTGGTATCACTGCAAGGGCAGATCACGACCTTCTGCCTCACTTTGAAGCCACCTGACGACCCTGCAACATCAGTAATTCGCTAAACCCCTAAACCCCCCTAAACCCCCCGAAACCCCCTGAACTCCCTGAACTCCCTGAACCCCCTAAACCCCCCAAACCCCCTAAACCCCCTAAACCCCCCGAACCCCTAAACCCCCTAAACCCCCTAAACCCCCCAAAGGATTTAGTAGGCTCTCACGGCGAAAACAGGAGGTGTTTGTGTTCTTCAGGCTTTATGGGCCTGCAGGAAATCCTTTGGAAACCAACTTGTGGGTTTGAGGCTAGGGTTTAGCGTTTAGCATTTAGCGTTTAGGGTCTAGGGTTTAGGGTTTAGGAATTAGGGTTTAGGGTTTAGGGTTTAGGGTTTAGGGTTTAGGGTTTAGGGTTTAGGGTTAGGGTTTAGGGTTTAGGGTTTAGGGTTTAGGGTTTAGGGTTTAGGGTTTAGGGGTTAGGGGGGTTTAGGGTTTAGGGTTTAGGGTTTAGGGTTTAGGGTTTAGGGTTTAGGGTTTAGGGTTTAGGGTTTAGGGTTTAGGGTTTAGGGAGGGTTTAGGGTTTAGGGTTTAGGGTTTAGGGTTTAGGGTTTAGGGTTTAGGGTTTAGGGTTTAGGGTTTAGGGTTTAGGGTTTAGGGTTTAGGGTTTAGGGTTTAGGGTTTGGGGGTTTGGGGTTTAGGGTTGAGGTCTAGGTTGATAGATGGTTGTAGGGTTCAGGGTTTTGGGTTTAGGCTTTTCAGGTTTGGGGATTGGGGGTTTCGCATTTGGGGTTTGGGCGTCTTGGAGATTAGGGCTTGGTGTTTGCCAGTTTGGAGTTGGAGGACTGACAGAGCAACACGTCCTCCAGGGGGCTCCGCAACAACTCCGGCGGGAGGAAGTCATCCACCTACCAGCTAAACCCTAAACCTCTGAACCCTCAACCCTAAACCCTTAAACACTTAAACCCTGAACCACAGACTCCGCGCTTGGCGTGGATCACTCATTCGACCACAACCTTGCTAAGCGCATAGCCCCTCTAAAACTCGAAACGAAAACCCGAAACCTTAAAGACTACAAGAGGTCCTTGGCGATTCGCCTCCGCCACTCTACGGCCGAGATTTAAGGTCTGGAGCCCTTCAACCGTTAACACAGCGGTCGAAGCCAACGCCATCACAGCCTAATAGCATCAGCTGCGGATCATGCTGATCGTCTCGTGAAGCGAGCTTCGCAGTCCCCGGCTTCGGGCCCGCATCACCAACCACACCCAAATGGACTGAGACGCCGCCCTCAAATCCATCTGAATGGAATATATGCCCTGCAACCTCAAATACCCCTTCAAAAGGCCGAAGGGTACCTTAAATGGGGGTTTTGGGGCATCTAGATCCCAGACCCTGCACCCAGTAAGGTCTTAAGTACCTTTAGCCTTCAAGTGCTCTGAACCCAAACCGACGAACTGTCAACCAAAACCCTAATCCCTGAACCCGAAACCATATATATATGATTCAGCCCCGGCGGGCCCCCCCCCCTCCCCCCTACCCCCCCCCCCCTGTGGTGTGGTTGGGGGTTGGTTTTAGGGTTTTAGGGTTTAGGGTTTAGGGTTTAGGGTTTTAGGGTTTTAGGGTTTTAGGGTTTAGGGTTTAGGGTTTTTTTAGGGTTTTAGGGTTTTAGGGTTTAGGGTTTAGGGTTTACGGTTTAGGGTTTTAGGGTTTAGGGTTTAGGGTTTAGGGTTTAGGGTTTTCCCCGCGGATGGGGTACTAAGATGATCCCCCCCCCCCCTGTGGTGTGGTTGGGGGTTGGTTTTAGGGTTAGGGTTTAGGGTTCAGGGTTTTAGGGTTTAGGGTTTAAGGTTTAAGACTTAAGGTTTAGGGTTTAGGGTTAGGGTTTAGGTTTTAGGGTTTAGGGTTTAGGGTTTAGGGTTTAGGGGTTTAGGGTTTAGGGGGGTTTAGGGGGGTTTAGGGTTTAGGGTTTAGGGTTTAGGGTTAGGGTTTAGGGACCGTAGAGTAGGCTTGGGGGGGGGGGGGGATACCATGGGGGGGGGGCCCAGGACGCTCGACGCTGAACCATATATATATATATGGATTAAAAATCAACCCGAACGAAACTCTACATGCACCCTATTATATACCATGGGGGGGGGGCCCAGGACGCTCGACGCTGAACCATATATATATATATGGATTAAAAATCAACCCGAACGAAACTCTACATGCACCCTATTATAAAGCCCTGAACCCTCAACCCTAAACCCTCACTCACACACCTTGTTGTAGCGCTCGCGGCAGAAGAGGTGGAAGCAGAGACCCCCCTGCGTTCGGCCTGGGGCTTCGAGGCTTCTCAGCTTCGGGGACTTTTGGGGCTTAGGGTTTAGGGCTTAGGGTTTAGGGTTGAGGGTTTAGGGTTCAGGGTTTAGGGCTAGGTGCTTTGAAGTCCTCTCCAGCATGAACACAACAGAGAACTGCTCTCCCACACTTACTCCACGCTTTTCAACCCTGTAATGCTCTTCTCACCCGACGCCCGCCCTCTTAAGGACCTTCATTTAGATCAACCCACACTACGCAAAGCCCTACCCTGCCCATGTAGAGACCTTCGTCTCCCACTTCCCACGCTTCGTCCTTGTGTGGGACTTGGGCTGACACAATGCTCAGACTAACTGCCATAAGTTTCTTCGCGCCCGTCACCAACGAACTCAAACAACTCGGGCGCAGAAAAACTCGTGGGCTGGAACACCGTGCTGTGCAACCACCGCATGACCTCCAGCTGGTTTTGATGAGCTGCGCAGACTGACACCGCTGCTCTCGGGCTGACAGTCCAAACCGCTTCCTGTTCCTCCAAACTGCTCCACAACGCACGCACAATCTCCACAAAGCCACGCCCCGAGGCACAGATCAGACTGGCCAAGACTACATGGGTAGCCAGGGCACGATTTCGACACGGTTATGGCATGTTGCACAGAGCAGGGCCAGTAAGGTCAACTTGATGCTTGAGTCCTTGTCAGTCTGCACCTCCACAAGCAGGCGCACGATCTCCACATGGCCTTTGTTAGCAGCTGCAATTATCGCGGCGCCTGTCAGGTAGGCACCGGTGCCACCCGGCATGGCTTGAATGAACAGCCGTGCCATTTCCACGTGCCCCCAACAAGCAGCAAATGCAAGGGGTGTCAGACCCAAGGTTTTGGAAACTGCGTTCACGTCCGCGCCGGCCTCCAGGAGAAAGCGCGCACATTGCACGCTTTTTGATGGGTTGTCCAGAATGGCGGTGTCATGTCAGTATCCCTGTCTGGCTGTTCAAGGTCGGCTCGTCCATTGATGAGGATGCTTACAATCGTTGAGTGGCCCCCTGCAGCCGCAGCACTAAGTGGTTCCTCCAGATTGACGTCAGCCCCTGCCTGGATAAGTGCACTTACCGTCTCTGCACCGCCTGCTCCAGCTGCGACAGCAAGCGGCCCCCCAAGATTTACGTCAGCCCTCGCATGTAATAACTCTTGCACAACCGGCAGACAATCAGCTTCGGCTGCTCGGGCAAGGGCTGTCTGTTTAGTGCGTTCATGAACGGCATCTATGTCAGCCCGTGCCTGTAGCAGTAGACACGCGACTTCAGCACTCCTGAAGCTGCACAGAAGCGGACGCCCACATTCAGCATCTGCAGGAGGGTTTGGGTCAGCGTGGGCTTCCAGCAGCAGGCAGACAACGTCCATATGGCGACGTTCAGCTGCCAGGCAAAGAGGCCACGTGATCGCAAAGCGTTCGAAGCGGCAAGCTAAGTTGGGATCTTGTGGACGATGGAGAATCTCTTCAACCTGTGTCAAAAAACCGCTGCCCGCGCAGGCTCCGAGCTCATCCCTCTGCTCCTCCGAAGCACCAATGAACGGAAGAAGAACGAGCTGTAGATCCACAGGAGCCTCCATGCTGAAGTCTGCTACCTCGAGACCTTCATGCAGGAGGCGCTGCTGAAAGCGTGACCGCCCGCAGAGTTTCTGCAGCCGCGTCTTCAGCGTCAGTACATCCTTCGCTTCACCCACCTCCGTGCTAAGCAGTTTCTGGCCGGAAGGCAGCCACACATGCAGCATACTTGAGATGAACTACGAAGCTACAACAGGTAAAAATGATGATGATGGTGCCAACCTGAGTTGTGCTTTGAACCCTTTGAAAGTTATTCAGCACAACCCCGAAACTGGGGATGACTATTGCAACCATTCATATTCGGACGATGATTATTACTCTTGCAACCCTTCATTGTTGCTTTGGGCCGCTCCAAGAAGACACTCGGGCTCAGCTTGTTTGTTGCTTGTATCATTTTTTCTTGTGTGGGGGGGGGGGGGGGGGGGGGGGTGAAGGGTTTTCCTACAGGGTTCTTAAGGTGGAGTGGGGGAGTGAGTATAGGTTCCACAGCTAGAACTATGAGCCTGTACCAAACCCCCCCCCTCCGAATTATCCTACACTGCCCAGTCGGTACCCCACACGTTTAGGGTTTAGGGTTTAGGGTTTAGGGTTTAGGGTTTAGGGTTTAGGGTTTAGGGTTTAGGGTTTAGGGTTTAGGGTTTAGGGTTTAGGGTTTAGGGTTTAGGGTTTAGGGAACATAAGCTCATGTAGGCCTCTCCTGGAACACGAAAGAGGCCTCGAAGTCTCTCTAAGGAGTGCCCCTTGACACCCTATCCTGGGTTTGTTGGGGAGGTTAGGCTTAGGAGACCATGAGCTGCGTGGCCGGGGCATGGGTGAACTCGCACAACAAGCCAGGCCCGTGAAGCCCTCGAGACTCTATAGGGCCACACCGCAGGGTTTAGGGTTTAGGGATGCGCGTGCTGGCCTTGCGTTGGACTTGTCGGGCCCAACACATAGGGAATTGACAGTTGCAGGAAGGCGCCGACATTGTGAGCCCCAAAAAGCAGAATAAACGCGAAGTAAAGCAGACCTTTAAACTCGACCCCTTTAGGGCTAAGGGTTGCTAGGGGCTGTCCAACCCTTACCCTAGACCCTAAACCCTAAACCCTAAACCCTAAACCCTAAACCCTAAACCCTAAACCCTAAACCCTAGCCCCTAACCCTAAACCCTAAACCCCTGAAGCTGAGGACTCTCTGTCGCCCCCATGTCGCCGCACGCGCCTGCGCGCCCTGCTCGCTGCTTCGATGACGCCTGCACCAGACCACCGGGCTCAGGGTTTTAGGTGTTAGGGTGTTAGGGTGTTAGGGTTTTAGGGTTTAGGGTTTAGGGTTTAGGGCTTAGGGCTTAGGATTTAGGGCTTAGGGTTTAGGGTTTAGGGTTTAGGGTTTAGGGTTTAGGGTTTAGGGTTTAGGGTTTAGAGTTTGGGCTTCGAGGTTTGGGGTGTGGGGGCGGCTTGGGTTTGACCATTGGGAGCCTACCATAGACTGAGAGCTTGATGTGGGGTGGCTACACTCAGCTGCTTTGGGGCTTTTCAGGGCCCTTTAAGGGCTCAAGATGTTCATTTCAGATCTCCTTCTTTCCCTATCCAAGACCCCTCCCCCAATACCTAAGCCCTACCCTAAACCCTAAACCCTAAACCCGAAACCCTAAACCCTAAACCCTAAACCCTGCAGCGACTGATGTGCAAAACCAAAAGCTCCCAGGACCGCTGGCGCAGGTGGGGTGACCCTAAACCCTAAACCCTAAACCCTAAACCCTAAACCCTAAACCCTAAACCCTAAACCCCAAACTCATGGGCCCTTTTGGTACCCCAAACTACAGTTGAAAAATGTTAGGGTTTGGGGCTTGGGGTTTGGGGTTTGGGGTGTGGGAATTGGGGTTTTGGGGTTTAGGCTTTAGGGTTTAGGGCGGGTTTAGGGTTTAGGGTTTAGGGTTTAGGGCTGAGTCCGAAGCCCACTGAGGAAAATAGGAAGGGAAAAGAAGCGGAGAAGCCCCCTCCCAGACCCAGCAAAGAGAAACCGGAGACTCGAACCTCCCTTAGTTAAGCAAACATATGTCCAGGAACACGACGCAACTAAGGGATCACGCGGTCTTTGGAGGGTCGTGATAAGAACTTACAGAACCCTAAAACCTAAACCGTATAAAAGCTATAAAACATATAAACCCTATAAACCCTATAAACCCTATAAACCCTATAAACCCTATAAACCCTATAAACCCTATAAACCCTATAAACCCTATATGGGCCAGCATAGGCGCACCCCCCCCCCCCCCCCCCCCCCCCCCCCCCCCCCCCCCCTTGTGGTTTCATGGTGGGTTTTGGGTTCCCTCCCCCCCCCCTGTGGTTCATGGTCTGTGGTTCATGGGTTAGGGTTTAGGGGTTTAGGGTTAGGCTTTAGGGTTCAGGATTTTCACTCTGGTCCATTGGTTCACTGTGGGTTTAGAGTTTGATTTGGGTTCAAGGTTCGGGGTAATGATAGGTTTACGGTTTCCCCTCTCCCCCCTTTGGTTCGTGCTGGGTTTACGGTTGAGGGTTCAGAGTTAAAGCAGCAAAGGTTTCGGGTTTACCCTTCTCCCTCCCGTCGTTCATTGGTGGGTTTAAGTTTTAGGGCTAGGGTTCAGGGTTTGGGGTTTAGGCTGAGGCTTCTCTGTCCCCCCCCCCCCCCCGTGGTCCGTGGTGTTTTTAGGGTTAACAGGCAGGGTTTGGTGGGGGGTTGCCGGGGGGGGGGTGATACCTTGGGGGGGGGGGGGGGGGTCGATTACGCGGAACGCGGGCGCATATAAACCCTATAAACCCTATAAACCCTAAAAACCCTATAAACCCTATAAACCCTATAAACCCTATAAACCCTATAAACCCTATAAACCCTCTAAACCCTCTAAACCCTATAAACCCTATAAACCCTATGCGCCATGGACCTTTACGTATAATGTGGGCACCGCTTTTTTTCAAGCTTAAAACTTGTCTGTGCAAGTAGTTAAAGCACTAAACCGAAAATCAAACCAATTGTAAATTGCAAGTTCCTCCCCGCAAATTCCCTTGAACACAACACCAAACCAAATGCAAACATTAACTTCTGCAACGCGGACAAAACCTTTAGACAGACATTTTCAACCAAGAATACAAGTTTAACTCTGCCTTTACAAACACTTCAATCCAAAGTCCAAACCAAAGGAAACACAAGTGCTACGAATCAAACATTGAAACTTGCCTGTGTAGACACTCGTAAACAAGAATCTGAAACAGAAGGTGGGCACTAAAAACCTGCCCTTACAAAACACAGAGTATGTGACATAAATTTATATATGAGTGTATATATATATATAGATGACGTATGGTTGTTGAAATCTTCAAGACATTTTTCGCTCAAAGCACTTGTTGTACAAGATGTATTCAACAGGTAGTAGTCGTTGTCATATGACATACGGAAATGAAGTTTCGACTCTCACACTGGCACAAGGTGGGCGAGGCTGCTGGTCAATCTGGTGTAACCATATAACAAAAACAAAAAACACAGGTGTTCTTTCATTTCCTATGAGAAGATAGAGGAGCTATTTCATCTCCTACTCAGAGATAGAGTAACTGGTTCGCAAACGAATAAGAGCGTCTTCATCTCCCGACACTGGGTAGGGGTCTACGATCTCCTATCTTCTATCTCAGTCTCGCAATAGGTCATGAGAGGCCTCCGCTAGCTTTGCGCAGGAAAAGAAAGAGAGCTCTCTACTATGTCAATTTTTCAAAAATAGCTTCTCTGTCAATGAAGAGGTCATAAGAGAAGCCCTTTATCTCTTCAAAAGAAATGACAGAGCCCTTCGAACTTTTTACGAGAGATCTCTCCTTTACCCTAAATAAAACAACCAAAGTTCTGAAGGCCTTTCTTTACTCCTCAAGTGGGGACATTACACAACTCATCAGTTTCTATCGTTTATGTGAGAGAGTCTATTCTATCTTTAAATGGGTCATCTGAAAGCTCCTCTGTCTCTTTGAAGGGGATGAGTCTCTTCTGAAAAGGGCTCCTCCAAGGTATCCCCGCTCTCCTTCTTTAGGGAATGACAGAGCTCCTTAGCCTTATTTACCCTTATTCCTCATGGCAGGCTGCATTGCTGGGGCCAAGGCGCGCAAGAAACTTCAAACCAGCAGAGCACGTCAGCATTTCCAGCCGATATGGTCTTGCAGCCGCTGCAGCTTCGTAGGGTGTGGTCTACGAGACATCTTGAACATGCACACACATCGTCTCTCTTCTGCCGGTCTGGGACACAGAAGACAAGTTCCAACACCTGATCCCGAGCATCATGTTCCTCACAAGTAGTGGTAGGCCCTTCACCCCGGATTTTTGGGGGCTGGGAGTAGTTTTAACAGGCAACGCGAGGTGGGGTTGGACTGCGTAATCTTTCAAAAGTCTTTCTCCCACTTGAAGAAGTGTTTCCTAAAAAGAGATATCGGGAAGGATCTCTCATTTCCTCGAGAGAGGGATCTTTTATTGAAAAGAAAACACATGAGGTTTTTCATGTTCCATTAGGAGACAGAGAGGTCTCTCATTCTGCATTAAAAGATCGAGGACATCGTTCATTTCCGTTTTTATTTGTTATGAGAAGGTAGGGGGGCGGGGGGGGGGGGGGAATGGGCTCTCTCATTTCCGACTGCGAGACAGAGGGGCATAGAGGGGATCTCTGATGTCTTCGAAAGAGAGATCCTCCACTCAGGAGGGACACAAGTTATTCCATTTCCAAAAGAATAGAGGAGCTCTTAATGCCCCATTTCTCATTATAAATAAACAGATGGGATGACATCGATTCGTTTCCATTCTGTTGTTCTTGTTTATCAAAGGACTTCTTTTGATTCCTATGAGAAGATAGAAGGCTCTTCTTTCGTCTCCTACTCAGAGATAGAAGATTGCATTGGTAATACAAAAGAAATCATAAGAGCTCTCTCATGTCCTCTCTTTTGTGTCTCGTCAATAGGTAGCTACCGTTTCCTATTTTTTACCTGAAAGAGCTTCTGTCTCTCGCAATAGGTCATGAGAGGCCTCCTCTATCTTTTTGCAGGAAATGAAAGAGAGTTCTCTACAATTTCTGTGTTTCAAAAATGTTTCTCAAGCAATAAGAGAAGCCGTTTGTCGCTTCATAGGCAACGACGGAGCCCTACTACCTTTTTTCTTGAGATCTCTCCTTTACCCTCAATAAAAG